GCAGGAATAGCGGGGCCATTAGCGGCCGAGCTGCCGCTGACGTCAGCGCGGCGAGTGGAGTGTCTGGAGGACTCTAGATAGTTTTGTTTGACATCACTTTGTATGTGCGTTTGATAAAAGGTCAAACCTTTTTTCTTTGTGTTGACATGTATCGCCTGCGTCTTTATGGTGTTAGTTTGGTGAAAAATCTAATTTACCCCAAATGAAACGCGTCAGCCGAGACTCGTTTGGCTGTTAATCGGTTTCAGCACTGACAGTAATGTAGCTAACATGTTAAGGTTATACCTGTTAGCATGGTGCTAACTGCATGTCCATCACTCCATGAAGCTGTTCAGTAATCTCTAATAGACTGGATTATGTGGTGTGACACACTGCCTACGTTCACATTACCAGGCTGAAGTGCCACAAATCTGATTTTCTGCCCTAATGTGACTCGGATCTGATGTTTTCAGGGCTGTGTGGGCACAAATCTGTTCTTTTCAAATCCGACCTGAGCCACTTTCATATGTGGTCCTAGATCGGATACGTATCCGATTCGTGGTCGTGTGACCTTAATGAGAACGTTCAGATCGGAATTCATGAGCTAGCTAACTAGTCTAACTTAGCGACTGTTTTCTGGCTAATGCTAACACTCCAGCCTTGAGGTTCTGAAGAACACTGTACAGAAAGGTTAGCTTGTCAAGGCACAGCTGATTAATTAGCTTCACAATTTAATTTCAGTGTAAGAATGTGTTTGACACACCGGGCCTAAAAAAAAAACAAAGACAGATTTGAATTGTTTAAATACCAGTTATTGAAGACAGCTGGGCCAGTAGCTTTAGTGCTATCTGATATCCGATCTCAGTTGAGGCTAACCACTCTATCTTAGCAACTGCTTTCTGGCTTATGCTGAAGCTTCAGTGTCGATGCTCTAAAAAACATGGTACTGAAAAAGGGGTTAGCTTTAGCTTTTCATGCCAAATCTGATTAAGTTTTGGGTTCATAATGTAGTTTCAGTGTATGAATGTGCTGGGAATCATAAAAACAAGACTGACTAACCCTTTATTGACGACAGCTAAGCTAGTAGCTTCTATTAAGTGCTAGTTATCGGTTTAGGCTAGTTAACTAGTCTAACTTAGCGACTGTTTTCTGGCTAATGCTAACACTCCAGCCTTGAGGTTCTGAAGAACACTGTACAGAAAGGTTAGCTTGTCAAGGCACAACTGATTCACAATTTAATGTCAGTGTCAGAATGTGTTTGACACACCGGGCCTAAAAAAGCCTGACCAGTGATCGAAGACAGATTTGAATGTAGTCTTGCACTCACTGTAGTGCAGCTTATGCTGTGTAATCAGGTTGTTTTTGGGGCTTTGTTTGCTCTGGTGCTCTGGTCTTTGTAAAGCCCATTTCTCTGTAATTGCCCCCTCGGCCCTCTACGGCCTCACTGTGTTATGATGTGTGGTTCTGAGTGTCATCCAGGCCTGCTATTGATTTCCACTGCTGTGCTGCTATATATAGAGCTCCAGGAGCCTGGGGGATGCCCTCTCGCTTTGTACCCAGCTTATTATTTGTAATGAGGCGCAGGTTGGAGTGTACAGCGGCGGTTTTTCCGTAGCGGTGAAGCTGCGGAGGCGGCTCGCAGGAGGGAGCGTAGCTCGGGGAATAAGGCCACGGCACACAAACAGCACATCCAGCTGACAAACACGCTCCGACAGGGCGTTTTGCGCCGGAGCCAAACGAGCTCTGAGCTGCAGAGCTTCTGACATGAAGCAGAGGACTACGGTTATGACTTACACACTCCTTAGGAGCTTTCCTCTGGGCTTGTACCCCCTTTTAAAATAAAGGTGCCACATGTGGTCAGGCTAACTTAGCCACATCTTACGGAAAGGGATGTGTTAGTTAGTCATGGCAAATCTGATTAGGTGTTGAGTTTCATAGTCTATTTTCAGTGCACGATTGTGCTTAACAGACTGGGCGTGTTAAATATAAGACTAAGGCTGCGTCCCAATTGTGTACTACGCACTAATACTATAGAGTATATACTGCATACTAATCTTAATAGTATGAGCTCGACAGGTTAGTACACAAAATATTAACATACTGCACCGTTCTTACTAACAGGAAGTGACGAACCGTTGCTATGACAACATAGCAAGCTAGACTATGAAGGCTGGTTAACAAATTAACGCGTTCACAAACAAATTTCTTACAGAAACGCTGACAAATTAAAACATTAAGTAAACACGTTTGTTTTTTTACAGAATGCTTTACAAATTTGGGATGAACTCACATTTATACACCATTTCTGGTGCTGCTACCACCGCAGCTGCTCTCGTGTCACCGTCCGCCACTTTTTCAGAATTTTCCAGACGCGAGAAGCTCCTCCCTTTTCTGTTTCCCGTTGGATTGTGGGACAACAGTGTCCATCATTACTATACTCAAAAATCCACAACACAGACTTAGAACCAGTCGATTTTTGAGTATACTCAACTTTGACACTTGTGACCATACTACACCCTACATACTCGAACACTAGTTAGTGTTAGTATTAAGTGTGCAATTATTGAAGTCAGCTAGGCTAGTAGCTTTTATTTAGTGCTGTTAGTACTAAATAGCACTTTTATTTAGTGCTATAAGTCTACTACTGTTAACTTAGAGACTGTTTTTTGGCTATTGCTAACACTTTAACACTCGAGGCTCTGAAGAACTGAAGTGTCCCAATTCAGGGCCTGGGTCCTGCGAAGGACGTGGCCTACGAGGACATGTTTTTCGAAGGCTGCTTAGACCCGTGAAGGTTTTTATTTTTTAAATTATTTTTTCATTTATTAGAGCTGGAGATGCTTCCCCATCGGCTACTGATGAGATTGTTTGTTTTTTTTCTTTTAACATTTGTATCGTTCGCTATTCGACTCAGTTTAAACCCAATACTTACATTTAAAGTGTCTCCTCAGCCGCCATTGGCTCCTCTGCTGACGCCGCCATATTCTCGAATCCTCGCCGACACACAATGAACAGTGGGATATGTTGGCTGGCGAAGGATCCACCCGTTGGATTGTTCGTTGCCATGGAAAAGAAGGACACATTTCTCTGCCGCATATGAAGGAGGCATCAAAATGGGGCGTCATATTCATACCGCTGTGACGCAATCGGCCTTCTAATGCAGCCTCCGAAGGATGCAGCCCCTGAATTGGGACACAGCTAGTATTAAAATGGGGCTGGCTTTTCTTGAGAACCCTAATTAAGTTTTGGCCCTAGAAGGACCAGCATACACCAGCACCAGCAAAACCAGCATATTTTCGATGCTGGTATGCTGGTCAACCAGCATGACCATGCTGGGTGACTAGCTAAACCAGCACTAGACCAACATAAACCAGCATAGACCAGCTTAAACTGGTTTATACTAGCATGACATACATGCTGGTCTGTGCTGTTTTTTTTCATGGTTGATGTACATTATAATCTCTCATTAGGCCACAAAGCTGTAGTTAATAATAAATAAGCGAATGTCACATGAACTTTCCCGTCTGAGGCCACTTAGCTTAGCCTGATGCCTTTTTTTACTCTTTTACTGCTGCATTTTGTTTGCTCCTGCTTCTTCACAAACCTCAGAAAAACTAAATACATAGTTTATAGTTCAAATATCTACATATGTTATATTTTTGCCATATTGCACAGCCTCATTTTCCGTTCAGAATTAGAAGCGAGTTATGACGTATACATTATCATGTATTATTGTAGGATGCTATTAAGATGCTTTTCCTCTGTGAGCTTTATAACATCCATCACACAGAGCATAAATAATGCGTAAGGCAATATGAAGCCATGTTCTTCCTTTGTGCCTTGTTTTATAATTGCTTAATAAAATAGAACATATTACAGTTGTTTGTTAAACAGCCATAAAGTGTCACTGTATTTTCAGGCTGCATGATATGGTCAAAGTACCACTATTTCAATTATATTGTTCAATATTATTAGTCATGTTGCTCCATATTGTGATTATATTGCTATATATTGCAATTATATTGTGATTATATAGATCCATAATCATATTGTTACATTTTGTGATTATATTGCAATTATACTGTGATTATATTGCTCCATATTGTGACTATATTGCTATATATTGCTACGTATTGCGATTATATTGTTCCATATTATTTTATTACTATATATTACAATTATATTGCTCCACAATTATATTGCTACATACTGCGATTACATTGTTCCATATTATTGATTATATTACTCCATATTGTGATTATATTGCTATATATTGCAATTATACTGCGATCACATTGCTCCACAATTATATTTCTACATATTGCAATTATATTGCTCCAAACTGCAATTACATTGTTTCGTATTATTGATTATATTGCACCATATTGTGACTACATTGCTATATATTGCAATTATATTGCTGTTATATTTTTGTTATAGTGTGTATATTGTGTACATTGTGATTATTTTGCTCCACATTTATATTGCTACATATTGCAATTATGTTGCTCCATATTGAGATTATATTGGTATATATTGCAATTATATTGTGATTATATTGCTGCGTATTGCAGTTATCATGCTTTCGAGTTATATATTTTACTGCTACATATTGCAATTCCATTGCTATATATAGAGATTATATTGCTACACATTACAGTAATTTTTCCACAGATGTGATTATATAACTTTATGTAGAGAATATACTGAGATTATATTGCTATATATTGTGATTGTGGTATACCATACAATATATTAAAAATACATTGGTGAATTGGTAATGCAACATGGTTAAAGATTTGACCTAAATGAAAGATTTGACCCTTCATCTGGACATGTGATTGGCCAGGATACTCACAGCACACAGTAAACAACACTCTGATTGGTTACAGGGCTTATTTGCATATTTCAGGCCTTACTTATTCTACTGCTATCATGATGATTATTATTCAGTAATAAGTCTAGTATTATAAGATACTAACAAACATCTCTCTGTGTCCCTCTGTGTTACTGTCTCTCAGTGGACGTGAAGCCTGACGTCCCTCTGGCTCTGGAGCCGGTGTCTCCGCTGGACCTGCGGACGGACGGGAGGATGCTGGACCCGAGCGTGTGGGAGCGGCAGCTGCAGCAGGAGCTGCTCCTCATCCAGAAGCAGCAGCAGATCCAGAAAGAGCTGCTCATAAACGAGTTCCAGAAGCAGCACGAGAACCTGCTCCGCCAGCACCAGGCCCAGCTGCAGGAGCATCTGAAGGTCAGGAGATCACAGTAACACGTTCTGTTCAACACAGATTAGGGAACTGATTGGGTTTATAATAACACTACTTTTACTAGACATGACCTTAAAGGAGAACTTCAGCATTTTTAACCTGATCTCTATCCGCTGTATCTGTAGTGGACAGTCGATCACCACAGACAGTAATTTCAACACGTTTCTCTGAACTCAGAAAAGAACAGAAAACCCACTGACTCTAAACTCGCTACAGTAGAAGTCAATGGGCAGATGCTGAGCTCCATGAATAAGTGACTCTGTAACTGCTGATTACATTATCTGTGCATGTTATTAATAACAGTCATTTCCCATATGGAAAAAATATAAATATATTCCAAATGTATTCGTCAAATATACTTCTGCAATGTATGAAAATGGCCAAAAATCGTTTAAAAATGTGTTTATTTGTATTTTTTATTATATTTTTTCAGTTGTATGTAGTGTGCAGTAAGACACTCACACACAACGTGTTTTAAATAAACAAGATATTAAATCATAACTGCATTTTCACAGAGTATCAGTACCCACAACACTCACTTCTGTCCTGTTAAAGGATCATTAGATCATATTTAAAATGAAGATACTGGAAATTCAGTTCTAAAGGAATCAGACAGTGAAGAGCATCAGACAGGATTTTGGCTACCTTCATACATTTTCTAATGTATTTGATAAACACATTTACACACATTTATTTTTGTGTGGTACATTTCTATGTGTAATATTTCCCCATACATTTTATAATAAATGCATTTTAAAATTCTGAAATATTCTGAAATGCATGTTAGTGTTTGGAACGGTTCGCAGTGTATTTGACATGTTCATACAAAAATAAATGCCCATATTTTTTTCCGTATGGGTTAAAGTCTGTAAATACACTCACGTCCAGCACTGCACGCTCATTTGCGGTTTAGGCCACGCCCACTTTGGGGTTGTAATTTAAAAGAAGGTACCCAGAAGGGTATCATTCAGGAATGGAAATCCTTTAATTAAGACCCCGCAGTGTTTAGGTGTGTAATATGTGGTGGGTTTCTCAGCTGCAGCAGGAGCTTCAGGCGATGAAGCAGCGTCAGGAGCAGCTGGAGAAGGAGAGGAAGCTGGAGCAGCAAAACCAGGAGAGGGAACTGGAGAGGAATCGCCGCCAGCAACAGGCCCTCATCCTCAGGAGCAAGGAGCGGGCCAGAGAGAGTAAGGACTGCCACTGTACACTCTCTCCATTTTGTCCATTTCTATTTTTCTGTATCGTTTGACCACGGCAGCTGTCCTTTTTCATGGTGAATGCACCAGTAAACTACACTGAAAGTTAAGAACCTCTTTGCCTTTTTACATGTTTTTCTTTGGACAGTGCCAATATAGTAGCACACATACGATACCTTGCACTTACAAAGCATAGCAGATAATAGAAGAACTCATTTTAAAGCCACTAAGAATCTTCATACTGGTGCGCTACCTTCACTGTCCAGCAGGGGGAGACATTTATTCGTCTTACATAACTTCAGAGGCCCTCAAACCCTGAAATCTGGAATGCTTGTTGCTCTTTTTTCTGACCAGTGTTTGTGGAGAGGACGTTGTGTATTTTAAGCATAATTCTTAGCACCCTAAGGTGATTTTCCTGCACTTGCATTGTCCTGCTGGGTCAGAAATGGTGATGTGGCTCTACATAAGCACCAGAAGTGATTCTAATTTCAGTGGTAGTGCTAAAAATAGCCATAGAAGGGGGTTCACGCTGCATTTTTCTCTAAAATATTACAAAAAAACAAGGAGTACAGACAGGAAGTTTAACTTTTATGCCACTTTTTACTACTTTTGCTACCTAGCAAATGTGGTGCTATTAGGAAAAACAAGCTAAAGGTTTGAAAAAAGCTACTTTTTGTCGTTTGCGTCATGATTTTGGTCTGTGAAGGGCTGCTATGACTAACCCCTCCTCCATTAGAGCTGTCACTGAAGGCCCACCATATCTTTGATCTAATTGGTCAGCACAGAAAAAAACATGACGTAAGCTACTGTTTTTCAGCTTTTTCAGTTTTCAGCTCAGAACGCAGTTGTATGAAGGAGAGTCGCCTAGCGAGCAAAAGCAATGCAGAAGAATAGAAGTGAGGCGGCCCAATGTGAACCCCTTTAAGTCGGTACGTGTTCAGACAGTATTAATGCAGTGTGACTGACCGACCCTGTGGTGTGACAGGTGCAGTGGCCAGCACGGAAGTTAAACAGAAGCTCCAGGAGTTCCTGTTGAATAAATCCACAAAGGAATCGATCCCCAGCGGATCCTGCCATGCCCTCTCCCACAGCTCCAAACTCTGGCTCACGTAAGAAGAACCTACAATCACTGTTTATGACCGAGAAAAACTGCATAATTAAGCGTTTGAGACATAAACAGAGTGATTCAGGGTGGTTTGGTGTGAAATGGTTCAGACGTCTTTACAGTGGTGGTGATAGGAACCAGGGGTCGCCATGACTACAACACAGATATAGACATTTTATTTACTATCAAAACCACCAGTGAACCTACACGAGTCTTCTGAGTTTATGTGGAATGTTGATGATGGCAAATAGTGGAGAATCTGAAATAATCAGTTTTCTTTGGGGACTATTTTGCCTCACAGTGCCCTGCATGTATCCCTCCACCATGAATGGAGTTTAAGTTCTCCAAACTATCATAAAACAGTGTCTCAGTCATCAGGCAGTGAATTCATAACCATTTCATGTAGGAACTTTCTGTGAGGAGCTTTTAGAGGTGGACGTCTGGTTCCTATCACCACCACTGTGAACAATTCTGGCTCTCAATTAAGTTTCTCTAGAACAGAGCGTTTCACACCAAACCACTCTGTTTACATCTTAGCCACTTAATTATGCAGGAATTTTGAAAAGTGGGTGGAATTTCCATTTGATTGACTCTCATTGCACCAGTTATATTATATATTGTACTATTTATGTTGTTACTATAAAACAGGAGCTTCACTTTACATTGTGTGAACATTTTATGATGAATGGACTGATAGAAATTGCTGTTATGCAAGAGCCAGAATAGAAGCTGGCAGCATAAACGTCACATGAACAGCAGAAAATAAATTAGACTGCGGATGAACTTCAGTAACACTCAGTGCTAAATAGTTCAGCGCTGGCTTGTAAAGTGTGGCGGGCATTTCTCAGGGCGCAGCGGCAGTGAGTTACGGCAGCAGCTCAGTCTGTGTCTCTTCTGTGCTCAGGGCATCCCATCACACCTCTCTGGAGCAGAGTTCTCCTCCTCTGGGGGGAGTTTCGCCCTCCTACAGGTTCCCCCTGCCCCCCCTGCAGGACTACAGAGACGATTTCCCTCTGAGGAAGACAGGTAGGACCAAAACTATGGAAAAAAAAAAGCTTGGGAAGATTGTAGGATGTGTTGTATATGGTTCCAGGTTCTGTGTAGATCCATATACAACACATTCTCCATCTGTCTGAAGAACCATTTCACCATGCAAAGAACCCTTCAAACATGCACATGGTTCTTTGAGTGTTCATGGCTGTACATAAAACCATTATCTTTACCAAAGAACCCATAGTTCTATATAGAACCATGAACACTCAAAGAACCACTTGCATGCTTAAATGGTTCTTCAGATTGATGGAGAATGTGTTGTAACAGCCGTTGGAATATGGGTCTGGGTTCCGCTGTTGGTGTCAAGCTTGTAACAAAAGAACGCTTTTTGTTTCCATATAGAACCATCTACAACACATTCTCCATCAGTCTGAAGAACCATTTCACCATGCAAAGAACCATTCTTTGAGTGTTCATGGTTCTATATAAAACCATTATCTTTACTAAAGAACCCGTGGTTCTATATAGAACCATGAATGCTCAAAGAACCACTTCCATGCTTAAATGGTTCTTTGTATGGTGAAATGGTTCTTCAGATTGAAGGAGAATGTGTTGTAGCACCCTTTGGACGATTGGTCTGGGTTCTGCTATTGGTGTCAAGCTTGTAACAACAGAGGAACCCTTTTTGGTGCCATATAGAACCATCTACAACACACTCTCCGTCAGTCTGAAGAACCATTTCACCATACAAAGAACCATTTGAACATGCACTTTTTTTTAGAGTGCTCATGGTTCTATATAGAACCAATGTCTTTACTAAAGAACCTTCGAAGAACCATCTTTTTTCAAAGTGTGTGCTGTACAAGTTTTACAGGACGCTGACAAAAATACTATTAAAGCTGATGAAAAGTTATAGCACCGGTTTCCACACCCATAAAATGTTCTTGCGTGCAATTACACATTTCCACCAGAGAGGTCTCCCAATCCCCAAATATTACATAGTGTAGCTTTAGTGAAGCTTTAATGTATTTACAAGCTCCTCATTATTATTATATACATCAGTTATATGGAAGTGTGCTTATAATAATGTCTGTGTGGTTTATGTGCCAAAAATATTTTTCATGACCAGCCTCTCTTTATGTCTTAGAAAAAAAACAGGCTGTTTTGGTTTCAGCGTGAGTGGGCGGGGCTAAACTGCTGTAGGCTGTATAGATGGATATTATTTTTTGTGACATTTGCAAGTTCAAAATGGGCCATTTTTGTAGCTTAGTTTTCATATATGGACTGTTTGGACTGGGTCAGTTTAGAAATGTATAACTTCAGAATGAATGGGCAGGACTAAACTGCTGTAGGCTGAATAGTTTGACATATGGTAAGGAGTTGTGACATCACAAAAACAATCAGTACAAAACAAGCTTTCCATAAATGGGCTGTACAGACTGGTGGGCAAATGGTACTTTTGGGCAACTTTAGCAATGTTTACATACTATATATGTTTAAATAGGTAAGAAAAGTTTGGTTTTACCTTATATTGGCCCTTTAATGAAGTTAAACCATCGATGCTTGGGCCTCCTTGTTTAAGTACTTTACCAAAACATGGCTGCGGTTTTCACCTCCAATCCGACCAAATTGAAGTTCTCTGTGTTTTAATGGAACTTTAACACAAACTGACACTTAAACTGTGCTGACAGTATAAATACTCGCCCTCCAGGATGGATCCTTTTTTCCCAGAATCGACTCATGAGGGGTGACACGTACAAATTTGCATTATTGTAGTGATTAAATTCCTCTCAGTTCACAGCATCACACTTTTTTCCAGCCGAAAGCCCATCAGGCTGGCCGTAACTCCATCACAGTTCCTCCTGAGCTGTGAAAGGCTTTAATTATTTTGAGAACCTGACTTTTTCACAGAACGCAGCTCGGGTTTGTTGACGCAGCGTTGGCGTCAGCCTCGTGGGAAGTCAGCGCTAGCAGGACTTACGGCTCCCGCTCGGTTTGGCCGGTGGAGGCTAGCGGTTCATAGCTGCGCCGTGAGGTCACGGAAATGACACTGCATTCCTTCCCCTTTGTGTCTGTGTGAATTATGATGGTAAACAGTCGTACCTGCTAAATTGCTTTACCACATGGGCTGGCATGTTGTATATATACACACTTCAGAGATCAGCCGGTGGAGGTGTAATGCCGAATTGCGCAGACGTCGCCTGCTGAATGTAAACTAATCTGAGATAATTACGCAGGCCGGTCAGTTCAAATAAGCCTTGTATATAGACACATGAAAGAAGTGTGTTTATTGCTTTAGCGTTTGAACAGTAACTGCCAGCTTTTTCCCCCCAGACTCGCTCTGAAACCCACAGTATACCGCCGGACAGGCTGCTTTAAAGGGCCCGTATCACAGAAAAACTCATCTTCCTTTCATTTCATCTGAATAACTCAAAGTAGTTTGTAAAAATTGTTAAGGTTTCAATATGAACCCAGTCCAAGCAGTAAGAAAGCTAAGCTGCTAAAGCAGCCCATTGTTGTGATGTCACAAAAAATAAATTAACATATCCGACTATTCGGCCTACAGGACTGCTGTATAAATGAGGCACCGCCAAACTGAACAGAGCTCATTTACATATATCAGTCTTAAAGGCACAGCAACTGCAACAGGCCGCTGTTTCCTTAAAGGGCCCGTATCACAGAAAAACTCGTGATGTCACAAAAACTAATTTACATATCCGACTATTCAGCCTACAGCTGTTTACCTACACTGAAGTTATAAGGAGTGTTGAAGCCCCTGACTGCTTTTTAAATGAGGCGCCGCCAATCAGAACAGAACTCGTTTACATATATCAGCCAATCAGAACTGAATCCATTTACATATATCAGTCTTAAAGGCACAGTAACTACAACAGCCCACTGTTTCCTTAAAGGGCCCATATCCTGGAAAACCAATTCTTCATTGTTTTTATTTGAATGATGCAGTGTGTAAACACTGTTAAAGTCTGAAAAGTCCATACAGTCCATATATAAAAGCTAAGCTGCTAAAGCAGCTGATTGGTTTTGTGATGTCACAAAAAACAACTCCTCTAGATATACTTGCATATTCAGGTTACAGCAGTTTAACCCCACACATTCACATTGAAGTTATAGGGTAGTGTTTCAGGCTGGACTGGAATGAGGCATGGCCAATCAGAACAGAGCTCATTTACATGTATCAGACTTAAAGGCACAGTAACTATAACAGCCCACTGTTTCCTTAAAGGGCCCGTATCCTGGAAAACCATGGTATCTGAAGTTTGCTTCTTTCATTTTTAAGCACTGGAGCTACAAGGCTAATCACTTTATTTTAGCACCCCCAACTCAAATATGTGTCCGGAGTCTCCTTTCACAGAGATGTTGAGCTGTACTTTGGTTGACCTTCCTCAAAAACCACAGCGAAAGAGCAGAAAAACAAGAAAACAAACGTCCTGCCCAAAAGCATGGCTGGCACTCGTCACCTATCGTCTTTGTGTCGTGTCCTGGACTAGAATAGTCCTGGATGGGGGGCATGTGATGTTTACGCGGGCAGGAATAGCCCAGGTTAACGAACATGGGGGGCAACAGCCTCTGCAGTTTTGACCCAGTTACCAAACATGTGCAGCAGGTGTGTCTGAGATGAGAAGGAATTGACGCGGTGAGTCCTAAACGGCGGTGAGGGGGCGGGGTATTTTCAAGGCCTCCGGCCAAGAATATTCCCACCGGTGCTGCTACAGTTATTCCTCTGTGGATGCAAAAGGACATAATATGTGCTTCAATGAGTGGAAAAGCTCACAGTGAAGCAGCGGTGGAGTAATATGGTTCATAAAAGTGCAGCTGTTGCATCAGAGAGTTCGGGTCCCTCGGGTGAGGCGCGGCTTTGTTTACTTTGCCTGATGAAAATGATGCAGGTGGGGTTTAGAGTGAAGAGCGAGAAGCGGGTACGGTCAGAACAACTGCATGGATCATAAGAAAGACCAATTAAAGACAGCCTGTAAGCAGCAACAACCCATATAGAGTTACTGTGGTGGTGATAGGAACCAGGGGTCGCCATGACGACAACACAAATATAGACATTTTATTTACTATCCAGAACCACCAGTGAACCTACACGAGTCTTCTGAGTTTATATGGAATGTTGATGATGGAAAATAGTGGAAAATCTGAAATAATCAGTTTTCTTTGGGGACTATTTTGCCTCACAACACCCTGCATATTATGTATCCACCATGAATGGATTTTAAGAGGTGGACGTCTGGTTCCTATCACCACCATTGTTGACAATTCTGACTCGGTAAGTTTCTCTAGAACGGAGTGTTTCACACCAAACCACTCTGAATGACTCTGTTTACATCGTAACCAGTTAATTATGCAGATTTTTTTGTGCTCTTGCTAACAGTTGTAATATTGTGATGCATATTGTGATGTTACATTTTTGCAATATCGTCCAATACATATAATGTGTTCTATAAGATCCGAATAAGTTTCTGTGTGTTTTGATGAATTTATTCATGTAATCAGAGAAATGTATATTATTTTGGTTCAGGTCAGTTTGTAAAAGGAAATTCCTCCACAAAAATTCTGCATAACAGAGTCGTTCAGAGTGGTTTGGTGTGAAACGCTCCGTTCTAGAGAAACTTCAGTGGAGAATTGTTCACAGTGGTGGTGATAGGAACCAGACGTCCACCTCTAAAAGCTCCCTCACAGAAAGTTACTACATGAAATGGTTATGAATTCACTGCCTGATGCCTTAAACTCCATTCATGGTGGAGGGATACATGCAGGGCGCAGTGAGGCAAAATAGTCCCCAAAGAAAACTTATTATTTCAGATTTTCCACTATTTACATCATCAACATTCATATAACCTCAGAAGACTCGTGTAGGTTCACTGGTGGTTTTGGATAGTAAATAAAATGTCTATATCTGTGTTGTAGTCATGGCGACCCCTGGTTCCTATCACCACCACTGTAAAGACATCTGAACCATTTCACACCAAACCACTCTGAATCTCTCTGTTTACATCTCACACACTGAA